TCAGTGGGAAGGCAGGTTCAGCTATCGACTAATCAGTGCCAACAGCTCCCAGGGGAAGAGCACCTGGGGGAGGCCCGGCTTGTAGAGTAACAAGATGAGGCCAAATTAAATGGATTGGCCACATTTATATGGGGGCGCTGCTGAAATTCAGTTAGGGTAATGTAATTGTGGCGATGGCAATCAGGAGTGGTTTTGTCTCGGCCTCTGCTCTATTTCATTGTCTTCAACTCAGTGTTTCATTCAAACAAAAATAACCACATTTCCCATCTTTTCAAAGTGATAATAACCTGGGCAGTCGTCAGTGTCCTCAACTCTTGTGGTTAAGGTGACATGATAGCCATTCTCGCTGTTTGACTGTGAATACAACTCTCTAAGAGTAATTTTCTAAATCATGGCCCGAAAACCATCTAGGCAAATAATCAGCTTAGTCAGTCTTTCCTCTTACTGTAGGAATTAAGGGTTTTAATGTACAAGGCGTACACACTCAAACATAGATGAATAAAGACGAGTACACACTCAGCCCTAAATGTGCATGTAAACCCCCCAATAGCAGGTTGGAGGTGGCAGAACAATGGAGTAGAGAGCATGGCACAAAGCTTAATGAGATGAAGACAAGAAGGGGATTCCACACACACACACACACACACAGACTTGGGGGTGTGTGGGGGTCAGGGGTTGCTTGGGGTTGTTCAACTGTAAAATGGGTTAAGGCTGTGTTTTCCTTCAAAGCAACTGTCTGCCACAATGTCTCACTCTCCCTCTCTCATTGAGGAAGTCTGTAACTGTGTTTGTGTGAATGAGTGTATGTCTGCTTTTTTTTACACCTTTTAGCACTTTCTAAATATAAAAGTACTACTGCCAGTCCACTCCACATTCACTCCGCCCACGTCAATTTAGACTTTCATTTGGTTATGAGACAAAGGAGGGAAAGTGTGATAGCTAGCTGTGTATCTAACAGATGGACACATCACGGCTTGTTAGGAGCCTAATAGGTAATGTCTGGCTAGTGATTGGTTAAAAGGTGCTATTCTATCCTGTGTTCCCAACAGCTAATGAAGTCATCCCTGAATATTGGGAGGTAATTGAGTTTTGCGGATTTCAGTCTGTGTGCGTGCGTCTTCATGTTTGTTTTCATATATCCATAAATCCCAAGAGTCTTTTTCAGTTTTTGAGCTTGACATATATTACTTTCTCCATTTCTCTCTGTTTGATTTTGTATTAGTAGCACTCTGTTATTTGTCTAGGGTTTCCATTGGTTTTCATTGTTTTGTCATTATTAGTTGTAAGACCCAGTCCAAAACCTTAATGATTTAAATGTACAAACCTTGACAGAGATTGCTCAAAATGTATAATCTAAAAACACAGAAGGTTTGGCATTCGTGCTTCAAAATTGACGGTAACAAGTGTTTGAATTTTGCTAGCGACACAGATCTTTCTCTGTTCTTTTGATTGTAGAAAAAGCAAATCACAGATTTACAAAAGAAGATTTTTGCTCCAACATATCCCACTATCCATTAATGATAATACGCCAGAAGCAAATTGTGTAAGCTAAGGTTCTTTCCATCATTTAATGATCCCATGTTTTCTTTTTGAAATAAGATTTGATGACAGTGTTAAGATAGCACGCATATAGATTTTCCATTGCTTCGTTATTGTCTTTCTGTGTGCGTGTGTTGCTTGACAAATTGTTGTCATAATATAATGTGGTCAGGTTAATGGTGTGGATCTGGGCACAGCTGTGTTGTCATTTGGGAGGCTGGAAGCGATGGAGGAGGGCCGAGGAGTGAGTCAGGGAGAAGAGTGATTATTTCAGGAGGGATCAGGTGTAGGAGACCCTCATGGCCCCATATGTCTACAATTGCGTTTTACTTAACGGCTTAATCATCACATCACGGCAGATAATCACTGACTAAATGGGCCAGAAGAGAGAAATGCAGGAAGCTTTCAAATAGCAGAGGTTTGCTTGGTTTGAATAACAACATTAATGTAGTTCATTTATTGTGCCTCAGTTTTCTTTCAGGGCAGCATTTCCTTGGGTTTCTAATTCTTGTTATTTTTATTTGTGTCATTCCTAATTCACTCACTCAATGAACTTTTGTGTTACGGTTTTATGTTCATTGTGTTTCCACGCTACTGCCTGCTCCCTGTTAACAGAGGGAGCCTCCTGACTCCTGGTGGGGTCAGTGTATTGCACAGTATAGCACCTATTGTTGAAGAATAACCTGAAGGTAGCTTTTGATAATATGGCTCATCTGTAAGCATGTGTTTGCTTCTTCTATCTCCTCGTTCTGGTTCTCTGGTATGTGGGCTATTTGTTCCTATCATTACATAGTTGAAGTGTCACCTTAACACAACCGGTTAATCTGGTAATTTAATTTATGACTGATGCTGAGGTGTGGCTTCTTGTTTCTATGTCGTACATGTTAATGCAGTCAAGTCACAAGCATGTGTCCCCCTATAAAGCAACATAAAGATGATGTTTTATTGCACACTGACAAAAAGTTGTTTCTTTATTCACTCTATAGAAAAAGCCACAATAAGCTGAATCTCAACTGCGTTGGAAATTCAATTAATAAATGAGTTTGTCTTAACACTTACAGACCTTGACAACAAATGCGATTTAAAGACTTAATCTGTTTCAGCAACAGCTTTGGCCATCTTCTTTAGCCTCACTCATTTTAAATAGTGGTCTTGTTGTTTCTAATATAAAAATCTAATTGTGCCTTAGTGCAGGATAAGTGTGTTTAAGCGCTCCGCCTACCTCAGTCACAGCTCATTTCTTTAATGAGCGCTGCAATGGCAGGAAGCTTTTCACCTCATGCTGCTTCGAGTCTGGCCCTCCAAGGATTCTGGCCCTGTTTGCCCTACTGACCGGTCTGCTCTCTGTCTGCACACATTCCTGACTTCTACTGAACGATTCACAATAAGTGCACAGGCTTCCTAAAACCAAGGAAATGTACATAAGAAAATATCCAGTATACCCAAGTACAGAGTCAATTTGAGAATTGTCCACATGATCAACAACAAGCATAGTGATGCACAGTTAAAGGTGGGGTAGGTAAGTTTGAGAAACCGGCTCGAGATACACTTTGTTATATTCCATGGAATGCTCTTAACATCCCGATAGCAATGAATATCTTAAGTGCTTTGACAACAAATCCATTAAAAAACTTCATCTGTGGAAGCCGTAGTGCTGTAAAAAGCACGACCAATCATCTGAGCCTGCCCGGCTAAAATAACTGGATGGCCTACCTGCCTGTCAGACTATTTTCAAATTCTAGCGCACTCGAGCTGGTTTCTCCAAAATGACCTACCCCACCTTTAACAGTATTGTTCCTTTATTTTATTTTTTACATCTTAAAAGACATATACACATTTCAAGTTCAAAGATCCAGTCCTTACAAGCTTCCATTGCATGTTCTTTAAAAACAGCAACCATTCAAAAAGAAAACAAGTTTATTGTAATTTATTTATCTGTTAATCTGGCTACTTGCAAAACATTGAGTGAGGGCAAAACTAAAGGAACAATCTGCCATAGACTCTTTTCCCCCCTCTATCAGCCACAGACCCCCTCACACCTCCATCATGTACCCCAACCCAGTCCACTTTTTCCTGCCTTCTCCTCCGCCGCAGGCTCCTTTATGTCCCAATCAGCTGGAGGTTCCATTAAGCCTCAGTAGGCAAAGCCAAGCCTCTGAGAAGCTCATGTCCCCCCATAGAGACTGATTATAAAAGGGGCAAAAGAAGGGGAGAGAAAGTGATTTTAAGAGCCTCTTTAAATCTGTCTCGTTAATGAGTTGTCCTCACCATAGCAACGCTTTTGGAGGGGTTTCCACTCCACATGTGTGAATGAATTAGAGAAAAAGGACAGAGAAAACATGTAGAGAAAAGGAACCTACAGCCTTTCCCTTTGCTTGTAAAACCACAGGGGAGAGTGCACTAGTGATCATTTGAGTCCAATTTTGTTTATTTATAGTAGAAGCTACATTCCTAGACTATTGTTAACCTAAGAACTATGCAGGATGACATTTAAAAAAAAAACATCACATTTGTTAGTGGTTGCTCAGATACCACTAGGTGGCAGTATAATACAGACAAGCATGTGGACTCAGAGTGGGAACAGCAGTGCTTCTAGTAGTATTAAAGTTGATCATCTGTGAATCATCCATTTTAACCATTATCGAAATGACTTTAGATCTCACACATAAAAACATTGTTTGAGACTTAATTGATAGCATTACCGTGATTACCAAATTACAGTTGGTTTAATTGGCCATCAGACAGAACGCACCCATTAATCCATACCAAAAGTAGACATATGGGGCATCACATACAATTTAATTTGGAATGATTGCAGCCGTACATTTTGGGAGTATTTGATCAGGGAGCTAGCCTGGTTTCCCTTGGGGCCCATTAGGAGGGCTCGCTCATTTCATCCAAGAGAGGTCTGCTCTCTATTAATGCCTCCATAATGGCTCAGATGGGACAGGAGGGGGAGGGACGGGGAGACGAATGGGTGCTTTACAAAGAAGGAAGGGGGGAAAGGAGATGAGGGGAGGGGTTAAGTGGATTTGGAGTCCTGATTTTTTTCTCCCAGACAGGGTCTCAACATAGGATTATCAATGGAGGAACCCAGATTTAGCACGTGCACACACCTGTGAGCATCCCTCAGTCTGTTTGATAAGCTTGATGACACCACCAATCACTGTCTGGCTCTCTGTGTGTGTGTTGTGCAGATGATACTGATCCATGTTATCTTATAGACACTAAGCCTCTCCTGAGACATATTTAACCCTCTTAGTTTTTATCCTGGGATTACAACACACATTCCAATACCATTGCTACACTAATAGCACTTTTTTTTTTAAGTGTACACATGAAGATAAGTTATGTTCCGAGTGTTGTTCAAACTCCAAAAAGCAATGCAGCTACACTAATGTTGTCCTGTAGTCAATTCTGATTTAAAAAAAAAAAGTTAAATCATTTGACAAACACATGTATAGTGAAAGAGTAAAACATATTTATTTATGTTCAATACAATGAATATTTAGCTATTCAGGTGGCGCATCAGACCCTCTCGTATGTCACCGCCCTCCTCCTCTGCACCTTGTGCCACCCCAGGCTCTGCTGCTGCTGGTGCTGGTGCATCCCATCCATCATCATAGGCATCTCCACGACTCTCGCAGAGGTTATGCAGAGCACAGCATGTCAGCACCATAGATTTGACAAGTTTGACATCAGAGTCATTTATTTTCACGAGGCAACGCCACCTTCCCTTCAGTCTACCAAAAGCGTTTTCGACCACTACCCGTGCTCTGCAAATGTTCCTGTTGTATATCTGCTGTTCTGCTGTCAGCCGTCCAGTGTCAGGGAACGGTTTTAAGAGCCAGTTTTGCAAGGGATAGGCAGAGTCTCCCAGGATGTAATAGCCAGCATTCACCCCACCAATGTTCCTGGTGCAAGCTGGAAAGTAGTTGCCACGACTGGCCAACTCCCACAATGTGGACAGTCTCAAAACCTGAGCGTCATGCAAGCTCCCAGGCATTCCTGCAAACACTTTCCAGAAAAGTCCCTTTCCATCTACAACTCCTTGAAGGATGATGGAGTGCCAGCCTTTACAGTTGAAATAGTCGCAGTGGTTTTCCTGTGGGGCCAAGATGTGTATGTGTGATCCATCAATAGCACCTACACACTGTGGGAGCCCCCACCTGTTCTCAGTGTAGTCAGCCATTTCTGCAAACTTCTCCCGGTCTGGTAAACGAATTAGTTCCGGTACTAAGAACGTCTCTGCAGCAGCACAGAAGTCTTGCACACACCGGCACACCGTTGTTATGCTCACTCCGAAAATATGTCCAATGCTTCTGTACTCTGAGCCGGTCGCAAGCTTCCACAGTGCGATGGCCACCCTCTTCTTTAGAGGTATACACACGCGGAATGCTGTGTCCTGTCTCTCCATCGCTGGCCGCAGTTTGTTGCACAGGTAGGTGTAGGTTTCCTCAGACATCCTGAAGTTCTGCACCCACTGAGTATGTGTGAAAGATGGAACAATCACATCCCACCACTCGGTAGCTCGTCGAACTTCCAAACACATGGTCTGCGGCGGCGACTTAGCAAATTGTATAACTTCTGAAATACACAAACAAAAGCATACATATTTTTAATTAGGGCTGTCAGTCGATTACAATATTTAATCGCATGATTGTCCATAGTTAATCGCACATTTTTTATCTGTTCTAAATGTACCTTAGAGGAATATTTCACGTTTTTAATACTCTTATCAACATATGAGTGGACAAATATGCTTTATGCAAATGTTTATCATCATTTGAACAATGACAAATATTCTCATGAATATTAAACACAACAACCTCTGAACATTACAAATATTCGCCTCAATTCAACCTGGAACCTCTCTCATTCAATAATACAATACAGTGTGTGTGTGTGTGTGTGTGTGTGTGTGTGTGTGTGTGTGTGTGTGTGTGTGTGTGTGTGTGTGTGTGTGTGTGTGTGTGTGTGTGTGGTGTGTGTGTGTGTGTGTGTGTGTGTGTGTGTGATGGATCGTTGGAGCTATGTGCAACTCAAGGCATATGCTCGAACGGGAGCTGCCTGGACGCTGCGATCATGTTGCACGCACTATCCGAGCTGAGTGTGCTGACTTTTCGTACAATGTCCCACTGTCTGACTACTAGGGCTGTCCCGAATACCATTTTTCGGGCTCCGGATATTCGGTAGTAATCAACAGCAAATATTCGGTGCGGAGAGATTTTTTTTAAGACACCTGACAACACGCTGTTAAGCAGAAGCGCAGAAAGAGCATACTATTACGATTTATATTTATTTATTGTCTCAGTACGCGCATACATTAAAACTAAATGTGTCCTCTGCATTTAACCCAGCCGCAGTGCAGCGCCCGGGGACCAAATCTGGTTCCAAATTCCGTCTAACGTTTTACAACCTGAAGATACAAAACACATTTCTGTCATAACAACAATACTTTTAATAACATAGCCGTAACAGTAGGCCTAACAGTGTAATACTTGTTACCGATACAGTAAACAGTATTTAAATAGAAGAACGAAAAATAAATGAACGAACTGTATGCCAATAATTGCCTTTGCCCCAGATGTTCCCACATTGCTCCTATTATTTTCACTATTCGGATAAAATTGAAAAACTAATATAAAAAAACAATTCGCTTGCTTGCAACTATTTTCCAAGCAAAGTAAGTGCACGATTTTATCATGTGTAACGTTACTGTTTAAACGGCGGATAAAGCAGCTTCATCATGGCAACTTGACAACAGCTAAGCTAAGCTAGTACTTACAGCATCCGGTGACTTTTCAGAGTTGTTGTGCCACCGTGGTAGGCCAGTTTCTTGTCGCATATTTGGCACACTGCCTTCTTCTTACCGTCGTCCAATTTAAAATGGTCCCACACAGCTGAAGTCTTCGGCATTTTGTGTTCAGGAGTGTGAAGCGAGGTGAAGCGTGCCGTTTGCGTTCGTGACTGAGCGAAAGCGATGTCAGGAGCACAGGCTGAGATTGTATATATTTCCGCATTTTAACAGTGCAATTCAAAAGTATAAATATGGTATAAGAATATGGCAATTCGCCTTTATTGATAGCATACATTTAGGGGGAAACAAATCTTTTTTTGAAAAAAACGAATATCCGAATAATGAAATTGAAACCCGAATAGTTGGCCAACGAACGAATATGCGTTAACTTGACAGCCCTAATTGTAATACGTAAAAGTGGTAGCTACAATTCATTAAATACTTGAAACACTTTGGTCGTATAGTAGTGAGCGTGACCCTAAACTATGGGCATAGATATGTCTCATAATAATTTGTGTGAACATAAAAATAATTTGTGTGTAAATATGTGATTTGTAAATGTAAAACAACATCCACAAATGCATTTAAAAGATTTGCAAACTCACAAATACATTTGCAAGTGTAAAACGGATCTGCAAATACGCTAAATATGTTCACAAATTTAAAAAAAGATCTGTGGATATCTCTTTAACATTTACACCTTTCGATCAGGCATTTGTGAATCCATTTTGTATTTGTGGACCAAAAATGCGCTTGCGGATCTCAAATCTCTGTTCACGGATCTCAAATCTCTGTTCACGGATCTCAAATCTCTGTTCACGGATCTCAAATCTCTGTTCACGGATCTCAAATCTCTGTTCGTGGATCGTCTTTTTACACACACGGAATTTTGAGACATATTTTCCGCCGGTCTCGGCTAAAATCTACTCGTGTCACTCGGTTATTTTCGGAAACCACGTGATGGCCTGCTAATGACGACATTTCCGCATGATTTCAAAGTAAGAGCATGATGGTTTGTTTAATGCTCTGTTTTGGTATTATAATGAACAGCGGAACGTTAGATGCATTCTTTATCACCATAACCCTGACCTAAATACGGTGCTTTTCTACAGATTACTTTATTACTGCACTGGTACGGTAAAATTAGGCCGATTAATAAGATGTGAAGTGCTTTGTAACTTCGACCCGCTTGACTGAATACACAACAAACAATGAAAAAAGAGTTTTATCTGGGCTGTTTCGCTGCCAGCTGCTCCCCCAGGACCCGAAAGTGGCGTATAGCCTGCACTTCAACATCAACGAAAGTGCTCGATATGCTATATTGAACCAATAACACAAACTAACTGTATCACTATAACATGATGATGATGGTGATGATGATGAAGAATGCATCTAACGTTCCGCTGTTCATTATAATACAAAAACAGAGCATTAAACAAACCATCATGCTCTTACTTTGAAATCATGCGGAAATGTCGTCATCAGCAGGCCATCACGTGTTTTCCGAAAATAACCGAGTGACACTAGTAGATTTTAGCCGAGACCGGCGGAAAACATGTCTCAAAATTCCGTGTGTGTAAAAAGACGATCCGCGAACAGAGATTTGAGATCCGCAAGCGCATTTTTGGTCCACAAATACAAAATGGATTCACAAATGCCTGAACGAAAGGTGTAAATGTTAAAGAGATATTCACAGATCTTTTTTTAAATTTGTGAACATATTTAGCGTATTTGCAGATCCGTTTTACACTTGCAAATGTATTTGTGAGTTTGCAAATCTTTTACATGCATTTGTGGATGTTGTTTTACATTTACAAATCACATATTTACACACAAATTATTTGTATGTTCACACAAATAATTGAGACATATCTATGCCCATACTAAACACATTGCTAGTTAACGAACGTTAGCTTACCAAGTAGCGTTGTCGTTTAGCAGTGATCAGAGACGTCCTGTAGTAGTCTCTGCTGCGTTTTAGGATTGCCAAAACTCTCCCGTCAGCTTCTTCTGTATTTCGTCTTGCTATACGAAGCCTTTTCTGAAACAAAGCTTAACTCCTTGTTGTGATAATAAACCACAAACGAAGAAACAAGTACACGATCGCTTCCATATCCTCCATTGTTGTGTTTGTGAGCTGTGTCGCCTTGAAGATGAGGTCACGGCAGTTTTATGCAGCGTCGCTCCGCCCGCCATGCAGCCGATCGCCCCGCCTACACTGCGTCGTGAGTGGCGAAGTCCCTCCCCTTCCGGTGGACCTCCATGGGACCTTATCTTTCGATCCCGTTTGAATTGTGCCACGAATTACACATATGTTTGTCAATTTAAAATATAATTTTGCAAGTACTTTTCTGGAGAAAAGTACAAGGGTTGAGAAGTAGTTATTTAATGTAATATGGCTTCGTATGATTAAAAGCAACACCATCATCGACCCGACGAAGTCCCGTTGTTGTTGTTGTGAGCGCCGTTGGGGGAAAAAATCAGCGACGTAAACGGTGACGTCATGACGCAGCACCAGTCGGGCTCTGGGTGATGTGAACAAAACGGGGGTTGAAAAGAAAAACCGGTTCCGAACCAGAAGAGTGCAAGCACGGAGCTAGAACGGGAACCGCGTTGGTGTGAAAGGGGCATTGTACCGAACTTTGGCTCAGTGTGGTAAACAATAGCCGCATTCACACCGCAGGACTTTCCCATGGTACTTTGGTTCTTTAGTTCCGTTAGTACCAATAATGTCGCGTTCACACCGCCGGGACTTCTCAGTGCTGGGAACTCTTTTGGCCATTTTCAGTCCCTGCTAGAGAGGTGGTACGAACCTGGTGATAAAAGAGTGCCAATTTCTATTCTATTTCTATTGGCTGGGCGAATTGCAAACCACGCCCCGTTAGACTCTGATTTTTTTTTGTTAGGCAGCCATTTTTTTCCTCGCTACAAAACCACATCCACACCTGAGCGAGTCGTTTTTTTGTACTTTAAAGCAGTTATGACCACACGTACTACAACACCGGAGCGGTGGAATGATGAGGAAGTGTCGGCGCTTCTGGCAATTTACTCTGAGGACGGGATGCAGCAGCTTCTCCAGAAAGCAGTTCCCAATTTACTCTGAGGACGGGATGCAGCAGCTTCTACAGAAAGCAGTTCCCAACTCCAAATGTTTTGAGCGATGTTCGCAAAAGCTACTTGAGCGGGGAATCGTGCACAGTGCACACGGATGCCGGGTAAAAATAAAGAAACTCAGGCAGGACTATAAAAAAATTAAAGACCACAATAATAAGAGTGGTAACGATTTTCTATTGTTATTATATATATATATATTGCCACTGTTTTTTAATACTGACACCTAACTTGCACTAAGGTGTGTCTGCTGCTATATATATTGCCACTGTTACATTGTTTTGAAACTACTTACACTTTATTTTACATTTCACACTTTTATTTAACTTCAATTTACATGCATACGACACACCTGGAACAGCGTGATGCCGTTATTGTTATGTATTGACTGTGCAATAAAACAAACAAACTGGCGAAGCTTTATTTATTGTGTCCCACCCCAAATTTGCAGAATAGAAGAATGTGAGAGCAGACAGGTGTCGGTGGTTGAATTTATCTACAATGCTGCAACCTTGTGCAGCAATGGCAGGGGCAGAAACACAAGTCTTACACACATAAACACAAGTCATTTATCATGTCATTTGTTTTAGATAAATAAGGGAAAAACACCAAACAAGGGTTAATGTCCTTTTCCAAAATCAGCCTGAGGGGGTAATATATAATAAATACATAAAGATAAAGTCCATTGTTATAATGGGGTATTTTATTTGTAAATTACCCTTATTACACTTATGAACTCCATCATGTCTGAGGTCGGAAAGTAAACAAACGCCTCATACAGCGGGTGGGCTTTATACCCCCTCCCCCGTGTAGTTCTTCTCTCGTTTTTTTTTGTACTCGCCGTGAAGTGGTTCTGCGGCCTGCCAGTAAACCCAGAGAAGAAGAAGACGAAGTGACGTCAGCGTAATTTTGCCTCAGGGAAAGTACTGCGGTGTGAATGCGATTGGCACTAGCCCCCTGGCGGATTCAGTGCCGTGGTACTTTAGTGCCGGCACTAAAGTACGGCAAGTCCTGCGGTGTGAAAGCGGCTAATTGGTCAATAGCATCCAGAGTTTATGATGAGGTAGCAATATTTAGCCTGAAGGCTAGTGCTGCTGTTGGATTATATGACATTATTTTAGCTATATGTGTTATTTTTAAAAGTGTGTTTTCTCTCTCTGTAGGCTTGCTTGTAGGAATGAAACAAGCTGGATACAGCAAACCTTGTTAACTGCTCTGATTGTTCAAATTGATTTAACTTGATGATTACCAATGGTTCATTCATGAGTTGGGGCATCTTTGTGAATCTAGCTAGTCAAACACAAAGCTTCTTTTTCTGCTCCAATTGAAGGCTTTTTACAATGAGTAATCAAAACAGATTTGCTGTTAAAAAGACAAAAAAAGGATCATTGTCCGTGGAGGTATAAGGGGACTAAATACTAGGACCGCACCACTGCATTGCATAGATTTACCGAGGCAAACATCATGAGTTTATTTTAGGTCATTCCCTCCATGCCTTGTGAAAGCAATGTGTAATGTGTAGCCTTATCTAACCAACTAACAGAGAGGGATTCAAATTGGATCAATGTTATGGGCCTGGTTTGCAGAGCCAAATCCACTCATGCGGGGTGTGAATGTATCGGTTCATAACCAAGATCAATGCCAGCCACCAGAATTGGCATCCGACTTCACATCTAACCTCTGAACTGTGCTGCCGCCTCGGGGCTGATTGTCTTGCTCACTTCCTTCATTTGTTGTCATTGGTCAATTGTTTGTATTTCTAAAAGTTCACCCCAATTCCCCAAATGACCTACTGTTGTTGTTGTTGTTGTTGTTGTTGTTGATGATGATGATGAGAAGTGAGGTGCATTGTGGGAAGTGGATCAAACGGCATAGTGTCTGATTGCTCCAGTGGTGGAGGAACTGTAGATAAACACACAGTGTAGTTGACATAGCTTTAACCCCGCTTACCATCACACACACACACACACACACACACACACACACACACACACACACACACACACACACACACACACACACACACACACACACACACACATTCGCCTTCCCTCCCTGTGGCTTGTTGCTTCGTGCCCTTGAGCTACTGGAGGCACTTAACCTAAATTAGCTCAGTCTGTCTCTGTGTCTAAAAACCCTCTCTTCAGTAGCATGAGCTAAGCACCAGGGTCATGGTAACAGCAAAAGCAAAACACTGCTTTATAACTCAGCTCATGTGTTTCGTGGTTCGCCTGTTTTGCATGTGATTGGCAATGAAAATATGCTGCTGTCATCTTGGTTGATCACTCTCGATTAAAGTGTTGATTTAATGTCTTTAGAGAAAGGCGTGCAGGGAAATATGGACCTTATGAATCATATAGTTAAAATGATTGAAGTAATATTCCAGCTTGGACATAATTAACACACACCGTTAATCAAGCCAGGTGTGATGTTTATGAGTGGGGCTTGAAAGTATCACACTCAAAGTGAACTACAAGCACACCACTCACGTGAATCACATCTGTGTGTTTGTGACAGATCTATGGCAATTTGTGTTTGAAGTTAATTATAAAATTGGATTAATGATACATGCAGACACACACACACACACACACACACACACACACACACACACACACACACACACACACACACACACACACACACTCACAGCACAGGCCCTTAGGAGAGAGGAGCAGACAGCCCTGTTGTGAAAATGTAGGTCAGGAAACAGCCAACATAATGCTGTGTGTGTTGGCACCCTCACATGAATGCTTGTATGCACATTAACTATAGGCTCCTGTTTTGTCTTATAATCTGTATGTGTAAGATCGAGCTTGTGTGTTTGTGTGTCAACAGCATAAACATAGACGCCTACAGCCAGGACAAAGTGTTCAGGGATGTAATATATTAATCTGGACCTCCCCGAAGGTCTAGATTGTAATGAGTGACGTTGGTCTAAAGCAGTGGTTCTCAAAGTGGGGGGGCGCGCCCCCCCCAGGGGGGCGCAGAGGCATGACAGGGGGGGCGCGAGAGACCAGGGGGGGAAATGGTTATTAAAAAAAAAAAAAAAGATAAAAAAATAATAATCATATTTTGAAAAATTATTGATTGAAAATAATATAATACAGTACTATTACGTCTGGTTCTCTGTGTTTCATTAAAGCTCGGCTCTTTGTGTGTGTGTGTGTGTGTGTGTGTGGAACGAGCCATTTTGTGTGCATGCACTCATAGAGAGAGAGAGAGCGCACCGGTACCGGAGATCGTAGTTGTTAGCTTCTGGTGCTAGCGAGCTACGCTAACGGATATATTGTAAGGAGTTTTTTCAACAACAAAGTGGAGGAGAGTCCTCTCCTGTCAGACTGAAAGACTCAGTGAACTAAAGGACTCTCTGAGTGTTATCTCAGTGGGTCTCAAACGTTTTGGTCACCATAAATGTAAACAATTATTTCCGAGGCACACGTTTATATGATCATTATAGTTATAAAAAAATAAGAGAATAAATTAAAAACAGGTATGAAATACTATATGACAGTAAAAAAAGAATAAAGTTTAAAAGGGGAGTGATTTGTAAAATATCCATAAAGAAATAGTAAATCTGTTTCCAGTTCTGTTTCAAATGGGTGTTGAGAGATGTCCATATATCTCTTCATTTTGCTCTCAAAGTGCACCAGATTGATGCTTTTAACTTCAATATTTAAAAATCTTCCCGGGGGAGCTTGCCCCCGGACCCCCCTATGTGAGGTCCACACACCACCTATAAAAATAGCACTTTACCCCTGCTTACACCTATATGCCGTGAGCTGATTATCGAGCCTTCATTGTAACAGTCACTCTGTGTATCTGCGTGGGGATTGTTGCAGTAGAAAATTCCTCTGTAGCGCCCGGTACATTAATGGGAAACCCTAAATGTTTGAGCCCCCTCTATGAAACGTCAAGCTACCCCACAGCACCCCAAATAAATCTCTGGCGCCGCCACTGAGCCTGACTATTTGTGTTGGGGGGGCCCGACTTTTTTTTTTCTCCAAAGGGGGGGACTGACAGAAAAAGTTTGAGAACCACTGGTCTAAAGGCAGTAGATTGTAGTGAGAGCTGCAGGC